TGGGAAAAAGCGTTAAGATGTTAAGATGTTCTTTTTTTTCTTTAAACAGGAGGGGGTGGGGGGTAACCATTTCCCTTCATTAACTGAAAACGCAAATTTAAGTCTGTATTCAGTAATTCTTCTTCTACACTCTTTACTGTAGTTCACTGGCCATGTCCACCTGAAAATCATGAGTCTTTAGAGATCACCTTCTGTCTATTAATGAAGAATACAGATCTTCCAGAAGGGTTATCAGTAGACATGTGCAGTTCATTTCATTCTGAATCGAAATTCAGGCAACATTTTAATTATTCAGAGATTCAGATGTATCCAAATTTCCAAATTACAATAGTAACAAATTTAAATGAATCTGAAATTACAAAATTATTTTTTGCAACCAACCTCACCATAAATGGCCCTGTCTGTTCACAGCTGTCCCATATAGTGACAGCATTATTTTGGTCACCTGACCACTAGCATGGTCTCAAAGATGCCTCACAAAGTTACAGAAATGTCAGACCAGGAAACAGGTTACAGACATGCCTCAACAAAGAATTCACACTAGGAACAGGGTCACAGAGATGCCTCAACAGAAACAGGGTCACGAAACACATACCACCAATGGCATGGTCACAGAAACACCTCATCAGTAACAGGGTCATAGAGACATCTCATCAGGAACAGGGTCACAGAGGCAACTAATCAGGAACAGGGTCAGAGAGATGTCTCACCAGGAACAGGATCATAGAAACTCTTCACAGAGACCAGGAACCTGATTACAGAGACTCTTTATCAGGAACAGGGTCAAAAAGACCCTCACCAGAAAAAGTGTCACAAAGATGTCTCAGCAGAAACAGGGTCACGGATACATATAACTATGAAAATGGTCATAGAGAACTGGAAGTGTGTTGGATGTAGAAGATTAGAGAGAGCAAATCTAAAAGCACAGAGGAGGACAAGTAAGTATTAATAGTCTTCTTTAGAAGGGCTTCATTTTCTTTTTGTAAAGTGACAATGTAAATGTTAATAATTTAGGCAAGGGAGAACTAAGTATGATGGACATTGTTCAGCATAGGAACCTTAGGCAGAACTGTAGGTCTCTGGGAGTTTTCTGTACCATTAACCCACTATCAGCACTAAGAACTCCTGCCTGCACTTTATATTATTAGAAAACCAACATGCTAGTGGCACCCACCCCAAAGTTCTCTAACTCCAGCATCCTATGTACCAGCCCTACTCTTTTATGCATCAGGTAACAGATCAGACACTCCGGCCCAATTTTAAGTTTCCATTAAATTATAAATCAAAGTAAAAATGGCAACCAGCCACATCAGTTTATACTTACCAAAGGTAAGATTTTGGCAGGGCAGTTCATAGAACAATACAATAAAAAATGTACCCAAGCACACTTATCTGCTAGCCAGAACACTAGCAAAGTGTAAATTGTTTCAACAATGTGTGTTAAAAACAGAGATTTTTGTTGCATTAGTAGAGTTTTGTACCATGTTAGCCATTGATTAATGCAAAAAGACTGGAGTTTAAACAACACCCTTTATTGGCTTAGTCACAGAAAACCTGTTTATAAATTTAATTGCTTATTTGCAGTGTTTTTTCTTACCATAAATTACTGTTTTAATTACTTGCAATGCTCTTTTGAACTTGCTAGTAAAATTTGACTACAGCCATTTCCCTTCTTGCATTTCATAGCTATCTCTTTCTCTGGGAGTATCTAATTACTCTCTATGCTAGCCCAGCTTCTTCACCCCATTTTTCATCACCCTATATAACCTTTTATGTAGCTTCTGGGGAAGATGCAAAGGAGAATATTATAGAGGTTCACATGAGACATGAGACACAACAGTCTGCTGGGGCTACTAACATCATATCCAAGATGGCGGCACCCAACAGATGTCTCAGGGATTCTGGATGTCTACATGTAGCACCATCCTAGTATAGCTAGGGGGAGCTAGATCCTAATGGTTAGACAGGAGCTGTTTGCAGCTCAGGTGTAATAGCCAGATGGGTCAAATTAGGGTCAGGGCTAAGAAACTCTGCTGGCCAGCTCCTCTGGAATTTCCCCCTACACTGAGGTTTTCGGAGGAGGGCCTTGGAAGCAGTGGGTAGATCTGAGGAGTAGCTGGCTGCACTCTTGAGGGACCTCAGCCAATCCCCAACAGAAGGCTTAGCAAGGGGCTGGGGCTTCCTTAAAAGTGTAGAAGCCTACTCAGTAGCAGCAGAGTTATGGTCTGAGGGGTGTATACGGAGTCAGGTGGAAAAAGGAGTAGGAAGATGTGAGGCTGGAGGAGGAAGGCTGCCAGGAGGGCTAGTGGGGTGGGGCCTGCCTGCGAGTCTGGAGATGGAAAGGCAGAAAACTCTGGACTCACTGAGCAAGGACCACCTGTATGGCAGGAAAGAAGCAGCCCAGCTGATAAGCCTGGTAGCAGCAGCCAACCTGCAAATGGTACAAGAGAGGATTTGAGTGAGTGCATCTGGGCAGATAGGAGAAGGTGCACTCTGTTGGGAAACCAAATTAGCTCCCTACTAGTGACTGTTTACCTCATTTAAAGGAACAGAAGCCAGATCCTCTGCTCAGGAAGAAAGTCTTCAGATTGCAGGGCGAAGAGGAGTTCATCAGGGTTGGTGCAACTAGGAGATGCTGGCTAGTACTCCCAACAGATACTGTATCAGAGAATAGAATAGTTGTGAATAGTTCAGGAAGTTGTCCTCAGACATCGGTTCCCTTGGGCATCCTATACCCCCCCCCCCCGCCCCCTATCCAAGTTCTAATCCCCTTAATAAATAACAAAACCAAAGCTCAAGGACTGATTTTTAACTCCGAGTGCAAGCTTGCGTGGAAAATGCTGAATGACTGGCTGTGCGGGACTATAAGGGGACGAAATTTCATAAGCAATCCCTAAGGGGGTAGTGCTACATTACACAAGGAGACTTTTAGTGGTAAGCTACAGGTACTGTAAATGCCCATATAATCTATGGGAATTTTTGAAACAAGGGGGTCTGGCAACACATGCTCTTTAAGTTACAATAGATCCCATTAGATCCCTTCTTCAGATTCCTTCATGATTTGTATGAAGCCTGAAGCAGGGACTAGAGATGAGCGAATCGAAGTAGGCGAAGTGGAATTCGTTTCGAATATTGGAAAATTTTCGATTCGCGCCGAATCCGAAAATTATCATACTTCGGATGCGCGAATCGAAATTTTTCCTAAAATGGCGGCGACATGTGCGGCGACGGAGCGGGGATGTCTGGGAAGGCGCGCAGACACGGCGCGCTGACCCATAATGCATTCATTAATGACATGTGATCGCATTAGCCAATCAGCAGCCAGCCAGCCAGCACTGTGTAATGGTCGAGCTATAAATGGCGGCCATTTTAGAATTCTCCATTTGCCTCCAGTCATTCAAGAGAGGCAGACCGCTCTGTATTAGGGACAGAGTTAGGGCCACAGAAACGTTACTTAGGGACAGAGAAACATTACTTAGGGACAGAGAAACATTACTCAGGAACACAGAATCTTTACTGAGGGCCACAGAATCGTTACTTAGGGCCACAGAAACGTTAGTTAGGGCCACAGAATTGTTACTCAGGGACAGACAGAATTGTTATGAGGGCCACAGAATTGTTACTGAGGGCAACAGAAACGTTACTCAGGGACACAGAATTGTTACTGAGGGCCACAGAACTGTTACTTAGGGCCACAGAAACGTTAGTTAGGGCCACAGAATTGTTACTCAGGGACAGACACAGAATTGTTACTGAGGGCCACAGAATTGTTACTGAGGGCCACAGAAACGTTACTCAGGGAAACGTTAGTTAGGGCCACACTGAGGGCCACAGAATTGTTAGGGCCACAGAAAATTTTACTCAGGGACACAGAATTGTTACTGAGGGCCACAGAACTGTTACTTAGGGCCACAGAAACGTTAGTTAGGGCCACAGAATTGTTACTCAGGGACAGACACAGAATTGTTACTGAGGGCCACAGAATTGTTACTGAGGGCCACAGAAACGTTACTTAGGGCCACAGAATTGTTACTCAGGGCCACAGAATTGTTACTGAGGGCCACAGAACGTTACTTAGGGCCACAGAATTGTTACTCAGGGACAGACACAGAATTGTTACTGAGGGCCACAGAATTGTTACTGAGGGCCACAGAACCGTTACTTAGGGCCACAGAAACGTTACTCAGGGACACAGAATTGTTACTGAGGGCCACAGAACCGTTGTTACTTAGGGCCACAGAATTGTTACTCAGGGACAGACACAGAATTGTTACTGAGGGCCACAGAATTGTTACTGAGGGCCACAGAACCGTTACTTAGGGCCACAGAAACGTTACTCAGGGACACAGAATTGTTACTGAGGGCCACAGAACTGTTACTTAGGGCCACAGAAACGTTAGTTAGGGCACAGAATTGTTACTCAGGGACACACACAGAATTGTTACTGAGGGCCACAGAATTGTTACTGAGGGCCACAGAACCGTTACTTAGGGCCACAGAAACGTTACTCAGGGACACAGAATTGTTACTGAGGGCCACAGAACTGTTACTTAGGGCCACAGAAACGTTAGTTAGGGCCACAGAATTGTTACTCAGGGACAGACACAGAATTGTTACTGAGGGCCACAGAATTGGCTGAGGGCCACAGAATTAATACTGAGGGCCACAGAACCGTTACTTAGGGCCACAGAAACGTTACTCAGGGACACAGAATTGTTACTGAGGGCCACAGAACTGTTACTTAGGGCCACAGAATTGTTACTCAGGGACAGACACAGAATTGTTACTGAGGGACACAGAATTGTTACTGAGGGCCACAGAACCGTTACTTAGGGCCACAGAATTGTTACTCAGGGACACAGAATTGTTACTGAGGGCCACAGAAACGTTACTTAGGGCCACAGAATTGTTACTCAGGGACACAGAATTGTTACTGAGGGCCACAGAACCGTTACTTAGGGCCACAGAAACGTTACTCAGGGACACAGAATTGTTACTGAGGGCCACAGAAACGTTACTTAGGGCCACAGAATTGTTACTCAGGGACAGACACAGAATTGTTACTGAGGGACACAGAATTGTTACTGAGGGCCACAGAACCGTTACTGAGGGCCACAGAATTGTTACTCAGGGACACAGAATTGTTACTGAGGGCCACAGAACCGTTACTTAGGGCCACAGAATTGTTACTCAGGGACAGACACAGAATTGTTACTCAGGGACACAGAATTGTTACTGAGGGTCACAGAACCGTTACTTAGGGCCACAGACACAGAACGTTACTCAGGGACAGGGACACAGAATTGTTACTGAGGGCCACACAGAATTGTTACTGAGGGCCACAGAAACGTTACTTAGGGCCACAGAAACGTTACTCAGGGACACAGAATTGTTACTGAGGGCCACAGAATTGTTACTTAGGGCCACAGAAACGTTACTCAGGGACACAGAATTGTTACTGAGGGGACACAGAATTGTTACTGAGGGCCACAGATTGTTACTTAGGGCCACAGAAACGTTACTCAGGGACACAGAATTGTTACTGAGGGCCACAGAACCGTTACTTAGGGCCACAGAAACCGTTACTTAGGGCCACAGAATTGTTACTCAGGGGGACACAGAATTGTTACTGAGGGCCACAGAATTGTTACTGAGGGAGGGCCACAGAACCGTTACTTAGGGCCACAGAATTGTTACTCAGGGACACAGAATTGTTACTGAGGGCCACAGAATTGTTACTTAGGGCCACAGAATTGTTACTCAGGGACAGACACAGAATTGTTACTGAGGGCCACAGAATTGTTACTGAGGGCCACAGAATTGTTACTTAGGGCCACAGAATTGTTACTCAGGGACACAGAATTGTTACTGAGGGCCACAGAACCGTTACTTAGGGCCACAGAAACGTTACTTAGGGCCACAGAATTGTTACTCAGAGGACAGACACAGAATTGTTACTGAGGGCCACAGAATTGTTACTTGAGGGCCACAGAACCGTTACTTAGGGGCCACAGAATTGTTACTCAGGGACACAGAATTGTTACTGAGGGCCACAGAACCGTTACTTAGGGGCCACAGAATTGTTACTCAGGACAGACACAGAATTGTTACTGAGGGGCCACAGAATTGTTACTGAGGGCCACAGAATTGTTACTTAGGGCCACAGAAACGTTACTCAGGGACACAGAATTGTTACTGAGGGCCACAGAACAGAATTGTTACAGGGCCACAGAATTGTTACTCAGGGACAGACACAGAATTGTTTACTGAGGGACACAGAATTGTTACTGAGGGCCACAGAACCGTTACTTAGGGCCACAGAATTGTTACTCAGGGACACAGAATTGTTACTGAGGGACACAGAATTGTTACTGAGGGCCACAACCGTTACTTAGGGCCACAGAATTGTTACTCAGGGACAGACACAGAATTGTTACAGAGGGACACAGAATTGTTACTCAGGGCCACAGAATTGTTACTCAGGGACAGACACAGAATTGTTACTCAGGGACACAGAATTGTTACTCAGGGACACAGAATCGTTGAATTAAAGAGTATGTCAGACAACATGCAGAGGAGTGGCAGAGGAGGCAATGTTTTTAGAGAGAGCAGACGTGGCAGCAGAGGAAGGGGTCGAGGCAGCACTATTCGCAGCCAGAGGCCAGTGCTCCCGGTGTCATCCAGCGGTCGTGTCTCCACCGACAACCCTGCCGTCATCGATTGGTTGGCTCGGTCGTCTTCCTCTTTCCCAGGTCACCTCTGACACACCTACAGCCAACGGTCGGTGGGTACGTCAGACACAACCGTTAGTTGGCATGGCCCGGGACCCAAGCCCACTGAAATCACGTGTCCTCTACCTGCCCCTGTCCTTTGGTGTTCCCTCACCAAGCGAAGTATCGCATGCTGTGGGCTCAGCCCCACTGTACAGTGAGGAAGAGCTAACAGAGGGCGGTCAGGAACGGGGGGAGACATCCGCCTTTTCAGCAGCCAGGCGAAGAAGTACTGGGCGAGGAGAGTGGCTCGGTAGCCGGTCTAGAGACAGGTCTGTCTCCTGACCCCAGACGCAGCCGAGGGGGCTAGTAGTGAGGGAGACCCTACTTGATGATGAGGAGGTTGATCGCACTTGGCAGCCTCGTCGTCATCAGGCAATTTCTTCCGCATCATCAGGGAAGAGGGTGGCAGCTTGGCAGCGAGCGCGAAACAGTCGGTGGGTTGCCCAGGAGGCAGCAGGGTCGCAGGGTCGCAGCAGTGTCAGTGGTGGAGCCAAACGGCCACGGAGTAGAGCACCAGCTCCACTGCAGCCTACCACCACCACGGCCAGTAGTGGTGCCGGTGTGCACGGGAGGAAGCAGCAGTCAGCCAGTGAGGAGTATCGGGGGCAAAGTTTCCTACTCGGCGGGTGTGGCAATTTTTTGTCAAGCCGCCCGAGGAAGTAAAACTTAGCCGAAACAGAAGGAAGTAAACTTGCCGTATGTCGACTATGTGGCCAGAAAGTCAAGCGTGGCCAGGGGGCCCATGTTGGGACTACAGCGTTGCGTCAGCATATGCAGCGTCGCCATTTGGTGGCCTGGGAAAACCGTGATAAAGATACGGCGGTTCTGCCCGCCCCAGCCCCCGCTCCCATCACCCGCTCCGTTACTTGCTCCGTCACCCGACGTCAATCGCCCTCCATCAGCCAGTCAAGGCTCCAACACCTCTGCTGAGGGGAGTTGTCGCTCGTTGGCATCTTCCGCTCGTTCAGATGCTCCTTCTCCAGCTAAAAGGCTCCTACTCCTCTTCACGGATTCCGTCAGCAGTCTTTCTTGGAATCCGTTTCCAAGAGACAACAGTTTGCGAGCACGCACCCGACGGTGCAAAAGCTGAACGTCCTCCTGTCCAAGATGTCCGCCTCTACCACTCTTCTTCCTTCGTGTGTCCTCAGTCCTTTCCCACCCCCGTGCCAAGTCCCATTACCCGACCGGCCAAGTCCCATTACCCGACCGGCATATCACATGTGCAGGGCGCAACGGTGTCACTCTGTGCTGCACCTGGTATGCCTTGGCGAACGTAGTCACACAGGGGAGGAACTTCTCAGTGTAATGAACAGAGAAATCGACAGATGGCTGTCTCCGCGCAAACTGAAAATCGGAACCATGTTGACCGACAACGGAAAGAACACATGGTGTCTGCTCTGCGTCAAGGAAGGTTGTGCCATGCGCCATGCATGGCTCACGTGTTCAATCTGGTTGTCAAGCGGTTCCTAAAATCCACCATCCCACTGCAAGACATCCTTAAAAGGTCACGTAAACTTTGCATGCATTTCAGCCATTCCTACACCGCAAAGCACACCCTCCTTGAGCTGCAGCGGCAGAACGGAATTGCACAGCATCGCCTGATCTGCGACGTTGCAACAAGGTGGAATTCAACCCTACACATGTTAGACCGCCTTTACGAACAGCGAAAGGCCATCACCGATTTCCTGATGTTACAAGCGGATAAAGGTACTCCCCTGGTAACTTTGATGTCAGCCATTGGCAGCTCATGCGTGACACCTGCCGCTTGCTCAGGCCCTTTGAGGAGGCCACGCTATTCGTGAGTCGGCAGGACTATGGGGATGAACGACGTCATTCCTCTGTTGCACGTCCTGGAACAAATGCTGTTAACAATGGCTGGTCAGGGTGCGGTAGACGTGGCGCACAGATCTCAACGCCACATGACCCCTGTGGGGGCAGGACAGGAAGAAGAGGAGGAGGTAGAGGAGGACATTTGTGCTCAGGAATTATTGAGTGAAATGGGTGGTTTTTCCACTCAGCGGACAGGACAGGAGTGGAGGAGCAGGAGCATGGTGGTAGAGGAGGAGGAGGAGGAGGAGACAGAGGACCCAGACGCACCGTGGCAGTATGCTGTGGAGATGGAGGCAGGGAGTCCCTCGCATTCCTTGGCACAAATGGCCCATAGCATGCTCGGTTGCTTGCGTAGCGACAGCCGAATAATAACCATCAGACAGAGATGACTTTTGGCTGTCCACCTTGTTGGACCCTCGCTACCGTTCAAAAATGGTGGCCTTTTTCACACCTGCTGAGAGGGAGGCCAAAATAACGTACTATAAAAACCACCTATGTAGTCAGTTGGTCTCTGCCTTTGTGCGTCAACGTCCATCCTCAGACACTGTGGGCCCTGTGCGCTCGCGTTCCGCTGCCATGGCAGCAGGGGAGGGGGGGTGGGGTGGTAGGAGGAGCAGTGGCAGCTCCACCAGCAGCGGCTGCCTCAGTCTGCAGTCGATGATGAGTAGCTTTCTTCACCAGCGCAGTGAGGAAACTACTAACCACCAGCAGCAGCAGCAGCAGCAGCATCAGGTGGACCTGGAGCAGGACCTCAAACAACAGGCTTGGGCCTACTTGGACAGCACCCTGCCAACCGAGGTAGACAATCCCCTTGACTACTGGGCAACGAAACTTGACCTTTGGCCCCAACTAGCTGAATTTGCCCTTGAAAGGCTGTCATGCCCGGCCAGTAGCGTGCATCGGAGCGCGTGTTTAGTGCGGGCAGGAGGTATTGTAACTCCGCGGAGGACACGACTGTCCACCCAAAGTGTGGAGAGACTCACGTTTGTGAAAATGAATCAGGCGTGGATTAGTCTGGATTTCAAACCACCAGTTCCTGACACAACTGACTAAATCCGCCATGAATCATGCCCCAAACATGTGCCACTTTCAGGTCTCCTCACACTGCTGGTGTGTTGAATTTTTTGACATAGGGTGCTGGCAGATTACGGGCCTCCCATAGCTGCTGCCAGGCCCCTAATCTGCCATGGGCCCCTATACCGCCTCCTCATGCTGCTGCCAAGTCCAGAGTCTCTCATGGGTCCCTGTACGGCCTCCCATTGCTGCTGTCTCCATCGCCACACTCTGCCATGTGCCACTTTCAGGTCTCCTCACACACTGCTGGTGTGTTGAATTTTTTGACATAGGGTGCTGGCAGATTACGGGCCTCCCATATAGCTGCTGCCAGGCCCCTAATGCCATGGGCCCCTATATACCGCCTCCTCATGCTGCTGCCAGGTCCAGAGTCTCTCATGGGTCCCTGTACGGCCTCCCATTGCTGCTGTCTCCATCGCCACACTCTGCCATGTGCCACTTTCAGGTCTCCTCACACACTGCTGGTGTGTTGAATTTTTTGACATAGGGTGCTGGCAGATTACGGGCCTCCCATAGCTGCTGCCAGGCCCCTAATCTGCCATGGGCCCCTATATACCGCCTCCTCATGCTGCTGCCAGGTCCAGAGTCTCTCATGGGTCCCTGTACGGCCTCCCATTGCTGCTGTCTCCATCGCCACACTCTGCCATGTGCCACTTTCAGGTCTCCTCACACACTGCTGGTGTGTTCAATTTTTTGACATAGGGTGCTGGCAGATTACGGGCCTCCCATAGCTGCTGCCAGGCCCCTAATCTGCCATGGGCCCCTATATACCGCCTCCTCATGCTGCTGCCAGGTCCAGAGAGTCTCTCATGGGTCCCTGTACGGCCTCCCATTGCTGCTGTCTCCATCGCCACACTCTGCCATGTGCCACTTTCAGGTCTCCTCACACACTGCTGGTGTGTTCAATTTTTTGACATAGGGTGCTGGCAGATTACGGGCCTCCCATAGCTGCTGCCAGGCCCCTAATCTGCCATGGGCCCCTATATACCGCCTCCTCATGCTGCTGCCAGGTCCAGAGTCTCTCATGGGTCCCTGTACGGCCTCCCATTGCTGCTGTCTCCATCGCCACACTCTGCCATGTGCCACTTTCAGGTCTCCTCACACACTGCTGGTGTGTTCAATTTTTTGACATAGGGTGCTGGCAGATTACGGGCCTCCCATAGCTGCTGCCAGGCCCCTAATCTGCCATGGGCCCCTATACCGCCTCCTCATGCTGCTGCCAGGTCCAGAGTCTCTCTCATGGGTCCCTGTACGGCCTCCCATTGCTGCTGTCTCCATCGCCACACTCTGCCATGTGCCACTTTCAGGTCTCCTCACACACTGCTGGTGTGTTCAATTTTTTGACATAGGGTGCTGGCAGATTACGGGCCTCCCATAGCTGCTGCCAGGCCCCTAATCTGCCATGGGCCCCCTATACCGCCTCCTCATGCTGCTGCCAAGTCCAGAGTCTCTCATGGGTCCCTGTACGGCCTCCCATTGCTGCTGTCTCCATCGCCACACTCTGCCATGTGCCACTTTCAGGTCTCCTCACACTGCTGCTGGTGTGTGTTGAAATTTTTTGACATAGGGTGCTGGCAGATTACGGGCCTCCCATAGC